CACCCATAAGAGTGTACAGGAACACCCTTTCCTGGGCAATGTACACCATAAGAGTGTACAGGAACACCCTTTCTGAGGGCAATGTAAACACCCTATAAGAGTGCTATTTAGCCTTCTGTTGATGCTACATACACACACTTTGGGGTGTTCTAAACACAGCATAGGTGCTGCTTCAATTCTTCATCAGGAGTGTTCGACAACACGCAGTGGTGCTCTAGAGCGCTGTTCGTTGTTGCAGTAGCGCGCATTGCTCTTACTGTGCAAGTGTGACAAAAGTATTTCACAGTATAAAGAGCATGAGATACAAAGAGACAATGATAAACACAGTATAGAGCATAAGCTATAAAAAATTTGTCTATTGTTTATATTATCTAATGACTGCTGAGACTCTTTTGTCAGAAGTAACCACAGAGATGGAAACCATGGTTTTCAGCTGATTTCTTCACAGCCTCATCAAGGTCAGGCTCATTCTATAACAACAGTTCGTCCATAGTATGTACATGATAATATATATATAATGTTGACGTACAGAAAACCGAGGACATGATGCACAAGTGATATTTTTGCTGCAGAGCAAGCAAGCAAAGCATCAGCTCAGTAAGCTCCAAAGAATGCTATTTGCAGAGTTCTGCAATCCTGTGAGTGGGAAGAAGATGTATGCATGCACCTCAATGCCACTATACATTGACTGGCATATAAATTATATGTCACACTCACTTGACCAACTTGAAATATGAGAGGAAGATGTACAGTACGTGTATGCTCATCATTAGGAAAATGAATTTACCTCTTCCTGCTGCTTTGAAAGGGATCCCTATTGGTTTGTGACTCCAACTCTGCAAAGATAAAATTATACCAATCTTGGCAGATATCAATAATCCTGCATTTTTCTTCGATGCTAGAGTCCTTTTGTCAGAAGTAACCACAGAGATGTAACCATGGTTTTCAGTGATTTTCTTCACAGCCTCATCAAGGTCAGGCTCATTCTATAACAACAGTTCGTCCATAGTTATGTACATGATAATAATTATTATATATAATGTTGACTTACAGAAAACCGATGCATGATGCACAAGTGATATTTTTGCTCGAGGAGCAAGCAAAAGCTCAGCTCAGTAAGCTCCAAAGAATGGATTATTTGCAGCAGCTGCAATCCTGTGAAGTGGGAATGCATGCACCTCCAATACAACTATACATACTGGCATATAAATTATATTTTCACACTCACTTGACCAACTTGAAATATGAGAAGGAAGTGTACAGTACCATGTATGCTCATCATTATGCATCAGGAGGAAATGAATTGACTTCTTCCTGCTGCTTTGAAAGGGCATCCCTATTGGTTTGTGACTCCAACTCTGCAAAGATATAATTATACCAATCTTGGCAGATATCAATAAATCCTGCCAAATTCTTCAGCAATTTCAACTCCTATTATAGCCTTTTAAATTCCTCTTCATAATTATGAAGAAATACCAACATCTGAAAGCATTGAAAATACCGATTGCATGACTCACTTTCAGCCCTACTGTTCTGATCTTCCCTCCCCTCGACTGCCATACTGGTACTGGAAGTAACAAAGTTATCTAAATACATGCTGGCCGCTCCTACTCTCTCCTTTCTCAATTCCCTCACGCGTCCGTCTGGAGAAAACGTCAGGAACACCAAGCACTAACCCAGGCTGTAGTACCCATCGCTGGTGCTGCTGCTGCTGGCTGTGATACTGGGCTCGGAGTAGCTGGAGTCTAAAACAATTCAGTGCCGTCTTAGCAGCTACGTAGCTATGATCAGTCCTTACGTTTTCTTCGACGGGGTGACGCTACATCGAAATCTTCTATCGCGGCGTTCGTAGCCATGGTATTCGTCTGATGGTGGTCTTGGGCTCCAGAAAGCCTTTAAATACTGTAGCTTGAGTCGCCAAAAACACAGCCATAGAGATAGTCTACTTCTACTTGCATTTGAAAATGAGCGCGAACATGATCTCACTAACCACCGGTGTACGTGGGCGTGCCGGATGGTAAAGGTCATGCTGCGCTGCACGCGCAGACACCTTCGACGCGCATGCGCAGTGGGTGTGACTCGTCTGTACGTATACTGTCATTCTCATTTACATTGACTATGATGCACAATGTCTCCAGCACAATATTTTTTTAAAGACATCTTCATGGTATTCACTCTCCTTATGAGGATCAAATTTTATCTCCATCATCAATTCTTCTTAATTACTTTCTTGCACCTACAGGTGTGTGAAACAATAACAATAATAAAACAGTGAATAGAATGTGATATGGGATGAAGAAATTTTCTGACATTGCGTCCTATGAACAATAATTATTTAAACAACTATGCACAAGGCATAGAAAGGAAGTTGTGATATAGGTGCTGGGTCAGTGTAGGATTACACCCTTAGGTGTTGTGGTGAGCACTAGAATGTGCCATGGTTTACTCTACACCCCAAGAGTGTTAGTAAACACCTACTTAAGCGTAATGAACACCCCTTAGGTGCTCCAATACACCCTGCCAGTTTTGGTACAGAAAATGGGGTGTTAGATAACACCATATTTTTAACAGTGTACTATATAGTTATTCAACGATGAAGAGTTGAGTAAAGGCCTGTGTTACAAGTCACCCATCGACTATTATAAGCGAGAAAGTTGACGCGCACCCGGGCTTTGCGTAATCAGGCATCCGCTTCGCGAATTGTCCAGCCAAGAATGTTAGCTATCCACAGCCAAAAGGCATTCCGCATCAAAATCTGTGGCAAAACTAATTATAAGTTTGACAGAGTTACTATTATGACTTTACAGCACATAAGGAAGATGTGATACGAGAGGTAGCATAAAGTATCAGTATGGTTGTGCTGAAGGTCAGCTTGACCAGTAGCCAATGACACATTATTAACCCTCGGCGCGCATGCGTTTTCTGCCACCGTGCGCACGGAATCAGGTAAATAGCGATATGATCGGGTTCAGTGCTATACTGGGTTGATTTTAAAAAAGGCGATTTTCGTAAAACTACTGTGTTCTAAAGTTATGGCGTGAAAACCAAGTGAACAAGCCAATATGTAAATTAGCACAGGCTTACCTCGACCGCGTCAGTTCGCTCTGTGTGTCTTGAAAGCACAACACGTCACAACGAAGGGCATGTATCGACTCCCGCATGCTATTTACTACTGTAGCTAGCCCGTACCAGACTCTCCGCGAGCTACTAGCGGGATACCACGAGTAAGGCATAAAAAGCCCAGCCCATCAATTAGTGGTACCGCACATGCGCAGTTCGCCGAGGGTTTGCACTTTAGTGCTTTTCATTATAATTATTATAGCTAAAAGAACAAAAAACAAACATACTTAGATTAGTTCAAAGGAGAGTGGTGTCAAAGATGGGAGAGATCAAGATGAAGAGAAGAACATCTTTTGAAGTTAATGCTACGCAAGCTCATTAAAATAATTGTTATGAAGAGAAGAGTGTGTCTCAACTTGAAATGTGAGGCTTATCGAGTTTGGTCAGAACAGAATGTGACGAAACTAAGAATAATGTTAAATGGGGCGATGGCTCTTTCAAACACTTAACGAAGAACAGAATATAAAGGACCATCAATAGGAGCTGAAGGTCGAGGAAACAAAGATGATATTTGAATCGTCGAGCACTTCCTGGATCCTGGTTCCCCCTCCTGGTGTGAATGTGTGGGTCGCACTTATAGGCTTGTGTATATAATCATCTGGAGCAGGAGAGGGAGCAAGCTCAGTTATAGCTAAGAAGATACATGACAATTTCAAGAGACAACCCAGCAGTAGTGTGTCAAGGCCTTAACTCTCTCAGTAGCCCATTTTAATTAACTCTAATATTATTTCTCGCTAGCCAACAGAACATACTTTGATTAGTTCACAGGAGAGAGGTGTCAAAGATGGGAGAGATCAAGGTGAAGAGAATAGTGTGTCTCAACTTGGAAAGCGAGGCTGATGGAGTTTGTTCAGAACAGAATGTGATAAACTAAGATGTTAAAATGGGGCGATGGCTCCTTCAAACACTTTACGAAGAACAGAATATAAAGGACCCTCAATAGTGGTACATAGAAAATTAAGGTCGAGGAAACAAAGACGACAGTTGGAAACGTAGTTGTTGAGAATGAATTTGGTGGCCCGCCTCTGCACTCTCTGCTTCCAAGGTGCAAGTATAGTGAATGGAAATTGAGGACGGCAGATGGGTGAGCAGTAAAGCAGTGAAAAGAACCAAGAATATGTAGAGAATGTTTCAGCCCAGGGGCAGTGAACAGAGGAAATGACTCTTCTAAGTAATCCAAGAACTTTGTATGACTTGGCGATTGTACATCAGACCATTTGAGATCTGGAGACAACACGACACCTAGGTCATTTTGCACTGTTTTTAACAATAGCTGAGTGTTGTGCAGGTAGGAGTTTGAGAATTGAGCATGACAGCATCTAGGAGGAAAAGAGAGAACAGAGCATTTTTAACATTAAATAGCAAAGGGTTAGCCTATTAGATCAATATCTACCAAAGATCAGTTTAGTTTTAATGTACTTCATTATACTTTGGACATCTCACAGCATATTTCTTAATATCTCCATGCAGAGAATCATTCCGTTCATGGATGAGTTTTATGCTAGGGCCTGCACAAATTCACTAGCAACTCTTTTACCAATGCCCACGATGTCTCTCAAAGAAAACTGCTGCAGAGAGTGGTTCTTGAGGAGAGCTCGAGCCAGGGCAACCGCTCTCTCATCACCAGTAGCTTCACCAGTTCAGGATCTGGAGAGTAGAGTTCTGATGAAGAGACTCAGTGAGATTATTGCTCCATCATTACCAATAACTGTGTCTAAATCAAATTAATGTTGTGATGAAAGGTCTGAGAGGGAGAGACTGTGCTCCAGTTTCACCTACACTCATTTTCAGTGTTTTAATGATTATTTCTGAGAGCCTTAGCCAAAGATACAACCCCAACACTTGTCCTCACAAACAAGTTCAGTTACCTTGATTCATATATTATATTTGTGGTGGAAATTTTCAGCAAAGACAATTGTTTCATCATCGGTCAGTCCCCCAACTTATTACAATCTGTCCTCATTGAATCGAAATATGAAGAGCATATTTGACTTAAGGCTTTGACATCATCATCTGTATATACTTAGTGCATGGCTCATTTGAATCGAGCAATGTGATTGGTCGATACAAAGTTTCTGATTTTGCCTAGTAACTTGTTTTAAAAAAAAACATGGTAACGAACCTACAATTCTAACATGAAAACATGGTAAGGAACCTACAACTTTAACAGAATTATATACATGGTAAGGAACCTACAACTTTAACAGAATTACATGGTAAGGAACCTACAACTTCTACAATGTTTACACATTTTCAACATGATATACATCATCATAAAACAAAAGACGTCAGAGAGGCGTCAAGTTCACGCGTATGTGCGCAATTGCGCGCATGCGCGTGAGGAAAAAAGAAAAGGGGGCGTGGCTATGCCGCTAGAGGACGAGCGCGGAGCCAGCTCCTGCTATAACCCTAGCCCGTGCATATTGCTGGTCTTACCGACAAAAGCCGTCGTAACACTTGAGCTAAAGGCTCGTACGTGCTGTGGTGTGCTGCCTAAGAAGCACCGCCGCCAGCGTTTTACACACGTTCCACCCGAACGCGATCGAAACTGACGTTTTCGCACGTAGGTTAGACGCTAGAACGTACGTAAAATTCATGGAAACTGACGCTTCGCTCGTTTCTCTGAACTCAAAAGGTTAAACGCTGGAACCTACGTAAATTCAGAAACCCTCGGGCGATGTAGTACCTTCGCTGCGCTCGGGACACCACAGCTTCGCCCTCGGGTTTCTGAATTTACGTAGGTCCCTCGCTTCCAGCGTCTAACCTATATTTAGTCTATATGCGGCTTCTACTACTGACTTCTCTTCAAGAGTGTGGTGGTGGTATACAGCCTCTAACAACTCCAGTTTTAGTTTCTGCGAAGTAGGTATATCTTTTGAATCAATGTACTCCTCGAACTTAAGTGAAAATGTCTTGAGGCAGTTTGTTGAGGCCAGATAACTGACAAGTCCGTGCAGTCTTGATCTGTGACATGCCCCTCTATTGAAAGCGAAAACAGGTGAGATAGGTCTGGCCATGCCTGTCTCTAGTGCATTAAGGCCTGGGTGCATCAAAATCATGGAAAATTTCAGATTTTTGTTTGTTTTGAGAGTGTCACATTACCTTTTACTTTCAAACTTGGTAACGTGATAAAACTCATAGGTCTTAACTCCCTTAACAAATTGTGACCACGCCCACTTTATTTGTTTGTTTGTTTACATGTAATTCGTATATGCGTTTAGGCGGATTGCTTACACTTCGAATTAAGAATTAATCTTGAGCTCAGAGAAACAAGTACATACTAAAGTAAATCTTTATCCAACGGGGAAATGAAAAAAACTAGTAACGCGTCGATAACGAACTAAAATATCGAAACCGCGCCCAGTTTTACGATAAAAACGGGCCCTGCATCTAAAACTGTCAAGTTGCTCACCTTCCCCGTTGGATAAACAGTCAGAGGACTTTGCGTTTGTCTTTTTTAACGTAAAAAAGTAGCTATAGACTAAGCGGAACCCTTCCGCCTAAGCGGAACCCTTCCGCCTAAGCGAAAACAATTGTGAAAAACTTACTACCCGTCCGCGTTCCGCGCATGCGCATATTCGTAAAAATGACGTCCGTACATGGCGTTATTCCGTATATTTTCCGTGAAACGTTACTACGGGGGCGTGGTTACGTGATTCCGTCCAGCTTCCGGTTTGCTGCTCGCGGACAGGCCTTTTAACGCACCAGAGGTGTTATTGTAAAAATGGAAAGTTCATGAAGATGGAGAAGACAATTCCACTTAGCAAACAACATGCTCAAATTCATTCTTGGCATCACAATAATAAAAATTATAATTATTCTACACCATTTGGTTCTATATATAGAACCAT